CCGCACATTATAACCAACTAGTTGTTACATTGGCAACAATAGTTGGCGTTGTTGTCTTGGAGAAGACGATGAAGAAGTGATAAGAAAGTGATCTCTTTGAAAAGGAATGAAAATTTCAAATGCTGCAACTGTTATCACTGATATTATCAACTCAGACTAACTTTTAAAACATTTATAATGCTACCAATAATGCACCTCAACTTAAAAGTTAGTGGGAAAAGTAGATTTAAAGAAAAAAGCTGTTTGTGCTGAAAATTTCCGCCAATGTTTTCCTTCTAAGGATTTGGGCGAAAATATATCCATAAATGTTGAATTTAAAAAGTATAAGAATTTTACATTTCAGGAAAGTTCGAAAAAGTCCTGAAAATTTTAATAAATTATTATTGCACACAAGAAGAGCTCAATAAAAGGTATATAATATTAAATGAGAAAACTGCGCTCGTTGTGAAGAATTTAATGGCCAAATACGGGATGATAAGAATAGAATTTAATATGAAGATCAGATTATAGAATGATTGAAAGGGATAATGGAGAAGTTGAAGAGAGGAGATGAATTTAGAATATTAAGATGATTAAAGGAGGGGAAAGAAGGAAAGATGACGATAAAATGATTTTCAAGAAAAAAGATTTAAAATATTCCTTAAAGCTTTCTATTTATGGAATTATCACTAATTTCGATTATTTATAAGGCACCAAAATGAGGCAACAAACTTCTATTATTTAAAAACAGAAAGGAATAATTTTTTTCGTGATAATTTTTCAAAACTTCTGCAAATTCCTTCTTCATCAAAATCAAATTTTTTGTTTTTCTTCCAGATATTCTCATTTTCTCATTTCTATCTGATAAAAAAATTATTTATTCATTTTGTAGCATTTCTTTGAGAATAATTTCGAAAAAACGAATTCTAAAAAAAAGATTTTTTACGTTTAAAGATGATGCGTTCACAAGTGAATTATCAATTCATTCTTCAAAAAATCAAGTCTTATTCCAGGCAGAATCAAGAAAGTTAAATTTCATTTCGTTCAACGATATACTACTATACAGTCTGCTTTTAAATTCTTTAATGCTAATTTTATTACAGCATAAAAATCCTCATTTTCCATCAGGGGTGCAATTCGTATGAAAAAATTTCATGCATAATAAATAATCTAACTTCATTATCTACATATACATATGTACATATCTACGTGTAGTACATATACAGTATTAGAATCCACAACATCTGCAACTAAACAAAGCATCGAAATTTTGCAGTTGAAGTCCATTAATAAATTTTGAGGGAACATTTCATTGAGGAAATAAATGAACTGATATTATATTTAGTGTGTCTTTCTTTATTTTTTAGTAAAATTTTCCCTAAATTCAATAAATATAAGTGAAAATTTATTACATTCAACTTCTTTAAATTGGCAGAAAGACTTAATTTCTACAGAAAATTGTTGAAAGATTTGTTTAAATAAAACCAGAACACTAATAATTAATGAGCTTTTATTTTATCAAAATAATTTTGCTTGTTTTAATATAAAACAGATAATCAAAAACATACGTACACGTGTATATGTGTAGCCGCCATCTTCTGTTGTAACTTTGAAAATCTTTCACAAAAAACAAAAACTAAGGTTCCAGAATTTCAGGTATGAAATGATGTCAATGAATGGTTTTATCAATTCTTCTTTATTGTTATTCTAACACTTGTAGATAATCATGAACAATAGCAGTAATTGATCACATCATATAGTCTTAACGGTCTAATTATCATTAAATTATCAACAATTAAGGAGGAAAAGGGAGTTGGTATAGTTTGTCTACAATATATTAATAAATTGAAAAGCTTATAAAAATTTTGCATTTTAGTAAAAAATACCACATAATCAATTCGAAAACAAAAACTTCTAAAACTTCAGAATTATAGCTTGAATGGCGCAATTTGTGATTTCTTTTTCTTTTTAGGTTTTAAATCTCGGCATTCAAAAACAAAATTAGTTTTATCAGTATGAATTATATGAAAAGGAAAAAGAAGTGGAACAGATTAGCGCATAACATAACTAACACATATCTTCGTCACAGAAATTCATATGGGTAAAAATAAACGAGAATGATGAAACTAAGGTTCAATTTAACTTTAAGAAATGACAATAGCCAAATATATTCTAAATCCCGATGATAAGGAACGCAAATCTCATTAAATGATGACGACAAATTCGCACACATCCGTCATATGGAAGAACCCGATTCTCTAAAAACATTTGCTGATCATCTTTGTATTGATACTTTTCATATCAAAATGATAAGAATCCATGCACCAAAATATTTAAATAAGATTCCATTAAAATAATAAAATTACTGCAATTTCAGCTGTCACAAATTTTTATGGCTTCAAAGAAAAATTCTAAAAATACCTCCATGCACTTCGAAAAGATTCAGAGATGTATCAATCTACTGTATCGAATAGTGAGCAGAATAACACGCGTTGAAAATCTGATCCTTATTTTTCAAAATGATTATTCTATTAAGCACTATTACATTGAAAATTTTACTGGCTCCATACGACAAATGATTTAAACTAGCAAAAATCTTCAACTAAAAAAAACAGATCAATTCAAAATAGTGGATTTCGTATGGAAAGCCTAAACAAGAATAACTGAAATATGTAACTTTGCAACAACTTGAAAAAATGAAAAGTTGATTTTTCTCACACTCATGATTAATAATAGGAATAAAAACAATATAAATTTTTGCATTGAGTAGATGATTTAAATCAGAAACTATCAAATGAATCTTTGACCGACCATTATTATCAATTATTTTTAATCGTTATCTTAAAGTGTTATTTTCATCAGGAAATTTAGATCCTATATTTCAAAATTTGAAGATTTTACATGTTACATTGTAATATTAAAAGCAAAAAATAACCAACAATTTAAGAAATAAAACTAAATAACATCTAAATCGAGATCAATCAGAGTTCATCAAATAAAAAATAAATCTTTTGACAACAGCAGCAAATGATGATGATAAAAACTGTTCTTTCAGAAAGCTCAAAATGCATAACGAGTTCGGATGTCTTCCAGCTTCTTATGAATCTGAAAAGCAATCAAAATTTGAGATTAATTTTGTTGCGGATATAATTTTAGCAACTGTTTTGAATTCAAAAAATTGAAATCTTAGTATGTAATCTGATTAAGAAATGAATTTTTGAAGTCCGAATCAATTTGAGAGAAGACTTGCTTTCAAAATTTTACTTTCAAAATTTCTGCTATTTATGTTCCGCATATCTTTTTCTCTTTACATAAAGTTCATATATTTTGTCAAAAAATCAATGAAATTGACTTTTAATTCTCCACTTACAGTAAGATAGAATAAAATGTGAAACGATCTGCACACATTTTAATTTTGAAATAGTAATAGACAACATCGCTGCATTGCATTAAATGACATTGTAGCAGGAAGTATATAACTATTGAAGTGACATGAAACAACCATGTTACTATATCAGTTACTTCATTTTCGTGTTTTCATTTTAATAAACACTTTGTAACAACAAATTTCCCAAATTCTTTCTGCATAAAGCCTAGTAAAGTGTCGTCACCAATTTCGGCTGTTATGTCTTGCTCTTAACTACGACGTCCCAAGAAGTCATCACTCATACCCTTCAAATAAAACTCTTATTCGCAACCACATAAATAATAACCTCAGCCGGCTTCCTTCCAAGTTCTTCACCAACTGATTTCTGCTTATCTAACGGCATTAGCGAGTATTGTTCGCAGAGATCACCATCGATAATTGACTAAAATTTGGAAATGAAACCATGAAGAGATAAAGCTCTTTAATGTACTATTTCTTTTTCGCAAAAATTGTTCAAATGAAGAAATGCTTCAGGAAATCCTTTATAATTTGGACTTAGATGAACGGTAATGCAAAAATTACTATAGTGATTTATTTTTCAACCTTCACTTACCTTGACAGGGAAGTAATACGAACGATACGCAAGATGATCACGACCACAAAGCGGTGGATATTCCACTCTCATATGCATTTCAAGGTTTTGAAAAAATTCAAATTCCTACAAAGATAAGAAAGTATAGTGATTAATCATTGTTTCTAATGAATGTTTCAAAAAAAAAATTTCCATAGCAGTTCCGAAAAAATTTGCTGGTTAAAGTGATGGCAACCAAATATTAAAACTGACAGATATATAAGTTAATAAGCACATAAGAATTAAACTAATTATGTTTAATAAATAAATGAAAAAGGATGAACAAATAAAAAACGAATGAAATCAATATATGAAGCGAGTAAACCTTACATCTCTGGACATGAATGGTACTAAAATTCCAATAATTCCTGAAATCGTTGTATAAGATAGGCAATCGTTTGCACCCGGTACTAGAGATGTCTTCTGCATTGATGTTATCGCGTCACCAATATAAAGGTGAGCTATGGCTTCCAACTATATAATAAATATTCAGAAAACTTTCAAATTCCTATCCAGTTACTCACTTACTCATTTGTAATTTACTAAATTAAATTTTTGAACTTAGTAGCTGTTGCATTGAGAGAAGGTAAGAAAAGTGACAAGTAAGAAAAAACATAGAAGAAATGAAATTAGATGTGAGAAACTTTCATACTCTAATAGATGTTAATATTAACATTTCAAGATAAACAAATATTAAAATCTATTCCGTTGCCATCTCACTTAATAAGCATTAATAAAAAAAGAGTAACATATTAAACCTAAGAGACCAAAAAATTTTAAAAACTTGTAGGTACATTAATAAGTGAAATGTAATTTTCAAAAAAGTCTTTTTTTAGAAACGGCAGCTTTATTCTCGAAAAAAAACAAGGAAATGATAAATCCATATAAATTTTATTTGAAAAAGATATGAAATTTTATTTAGAAATAGAGTACTTAACTAATAACCAGGAAAAATACTTTTTGCGAAGCTCCATTCAGATTTCCTCGATCCCATAGAGCACGTACTCCAGTCGGATCTTCCTGTACCTCTTCCGTTACACCTTTAGGCAATCGCAGCTAAAATGTAAGAATTCAAAAATCTTAAGTTTTGAAAAGAGCCAAAAACTAAAATTCAGTTAAAGAGTGGAGGAATTATGCTCTCAGAGACATTTAGACAACTTGAAAAAGGACAAATTCTTTCGGATTTTCGGATTTTATTCCTTACAAAAGCAGGCTATAACATCAATCCAAATATTCTAAAGACCAACTATTACACGATTACACGAAATATTTATTTAATTAAATGTTACTGTTTTGTTATGCTTCATTAATTCACTACCTAATTATATTCATCTTACGATAAATTTGATATTAATTGCCATAAATAATCGCAAAAAGTTTGTTCTCTTTAAGTTCCACTTTTTTTTCATATTATTCCCATTAATTTCACATCCTACTTATATTTTTTTCCTATACATCAAAATTTGCTGTTAAGAATGAAAAGGTAGCCAATTTAGTACAAACGATATCCAACTAAATAACTATTGTTTAACTTCACTACATATATAAATGGTTTCAGTCTGCATTTACATTCCCCTCAACTGACAAATTTACAGCAGTATAGATAGCTTGCCATGACTAACAATTTTAATTAAATTAAGCCTTTGACTTGATGACGCAATATTAAGATGTTTGTACACATTGACGCATAGAAATATATAAAAATATATATCTGATATATAGAAATATCATTTCTCAATCTTATAAATTTTTTTTCTCAAACTACTTTTGAAAGCAATGTATTCCAATAATTAAAAAACAAACCTGCATAAATATACCTATTACACATATTTCAATTCTGCTAAATTAATTCGAACTAATACACTGTTCTTACCAGCAAGAATATGCCTACTTTTACCGTAAATACCCAACTGATGTGGTTTTTTTCTTGTAAATATTGACTCTTTTTCCAACTAAATCAGCCTAGTACATGAAAGCAGTCACTTCAGACTAAATGGAGATTTTATTGATGCCTTTTTTCGCAGCTTGTTTCTGAAGGTAATGATAGAAAAATGAGATATTTATAAGGGAAAAGAAAAATATATGAACAAAAGACTTTAGATACATTAGAAAGGAAAAATCAAACAAATTTGTACTTCTCATTGTCAATTATGCAATATAAGCTATTTGCATTTGCTTTCCTTATGCAAAAAAAATGCATACAAATTTCTTCAATACGGCTTATGTATCAAAACACTTTTATTTAAATATTCGTAGCAATCTACAGATTTTTACACAACACTTGAGAGTGCTTTTTTCAGCAAAAAAGGAGAGTTTATCGAGTGAGAATACGATATAATGCAGAGATTGTTAGTTTACTAAAGGTTCAACTTTTACATATCATAATGAAATTATATTATTCTTTCTGATAATTTTTTTAGGTCTTATTCAAATTGTATAGAAAAAATTTGCAATTATTTTGAAAATGTGATGCGTGTAAGCGGATCTTTTTAAACTCACCACAGCAATATTTCCAAAACGATCTCCAACCGCAACTGTGTCATAATCCAGCAAACACACACATGTTACGTATCGTGGAGATGTCTCATCGCAAAATATCGACAACTGGCCATCCTCAAATAAAAGATTCATTAAGTATTTCATGCTAATTTATCGTCCTCAAATTCCATTAAAATTTCGATTGGATCCAACAAAATTACCTGTTTTTTGTAGCGCATAAAATGTACTGATTCCTGTGAATCACTTACAACAATACGCTGTCCCATTGATCGAATGTCAACAACTTGTGTAGGTATTTGCTGCAAAAAAGAAAGCTCTAGTTTAACATGAAATACATGCTAAGCATACATATCATAAAAATAATGAAAAAATTTAATTTGAAATAGAAGTATTATATTCGCTGAAATCATACGCACAAATGTAATGAAATATATAAAGAATTCATAGGAAGTAATCAGTGGTATCAGACAAACTATGTTTAATAAATATAAATATAACTAATTAATACCTCAAAATTATTAATTTTCTGAATTAATTTTCCAGTACAGATATTTCGAAAAACAGCAAAAATTCAAATTGATCAGTGAAAAATTACATATATAATATAGACTTTTCTTTTTTGACAATAAATTAATAAATGCTCTGCCGAACAATAAACATTTTCTTAAAACGATCCTTCAACTTGAATTAGTAATCGATTGGTTACAAGTATATGGTAGAATCCAGCTGGTTCTAGAAATTCATCGCATCTTTTATCAAGCTTGCAACTGAGAATAATTTTTTTGATAGCTAGATTTACTTATTCCTTTGGTGATTTCATTTAAATTGTATAAGCAAACTTTTTTCTGCTGTATAACTGATAGTCATAGGAAAACACGATTTTTTAAAAGACAACTCTGTTCTGCAATTTTTTAATACATATTTCGAGAAAAAAATTCAAAATATTGCCTGTAGAAAGATGATCGCATCAGTAGCAATAATATTCAATTTTTTTTTAAAAAAAAATAACTTACATTTTTCTGGCTTGTCCATTTACTACGATTAAAAAAATTTTTTTGATAGGTGCTCTCATAATTTTCAATAGTAATTTGAAACATAATTAAAATAGGAAAACCGAGAATTGCTTCTCACTAATGTCGTTATCCTATTAAGCAATTCATAGTTTTTAAGTAATATATTATGTGGAAATAAACTGCAGCATAGTTAGACACAACAAGGAGTCTATAAATGTATAAATAAAAAAATAGATCCATTAATTTACTAATACTTTCCCATCCATGAAGCATACTCTATCTCATCGTTTATTTCTTTTTCCTACCTCTTATATTTCTCTATTAGACTATGTTATTTTATTAAGTATCAACTTTCCATCCTTGAAAAACTGGACATTGAATCACTTTCGAGATTTCCCCTTCCCTATTCAGCATTTAAATTTTTACATGCTCCAAAACAATATGACGATGACCATAACAATCACACCAGCTATAGCAATTATATTACGGGTTATAAGGAAACAAATATATTCAAATATAACTTCACCACCCATATCAGCGAAAAATTTAATTTTATTTTCTACATGCTGACGAAAACACATTTTTAAGCTCCCACGAAAGTAATGAGATCTCTAATGTCAGCAGCTCTCATTACTTTGAAAGTAACTTATAAATGTTGTGAAATCACTCCTATAGCATACAATTTTACACCCCTCAATAATGCCAAACAAGATTAAAATTTTCCACTGTCGTCAATCTCACTCAACCTTCTTCATTGCGGTTCATTATCAAAACAAGGCGGAAAGGTGGAAAACACGAGTGTTAAGCGAAATAGTCATCAACAATTTTTCAAAATATTTTCAGTATTCCATTCATAAGTATGACTTGGCTTTTGATTAGCATTCCTTACTTGTTTGAATGATTACTGCTTGGATATTTGGGGAAAACACTTTCCACTGTTTAAAATATCACCTGAAACTTCTTTACACTTTATCTTACTCTATCCGATTTCAACGCTCAGCCAGAAGCCCAAAATGCTCAAAATTTTCAAAGAATTCAGAGAATTATTAGAATGACAAGTTAATACAGTTTAGGAACCAAATTAACAAATCCCTGAAGCAACATTCTGCACCTCTAAGCTCAATGCATTTTGTTCTCCTGCCTCATTTTCAATTATCCAAAAAATGGTAATTTAATCGACAGACGGCATGTCGCATATCGTTCAGTACTGTAGAGCTTCATCTATCCC